AAATAAGGATAAAATAGTTGGAGTGAATCGAGAAAATAAGCCATCAATTAACATTTAAGGATTACTCTTTATTACTTTAAGCTTTTTTTTTTTTAATTTTCTTTTCAAAACTTTAGTTTTAGACGTTTCATTCAGTGTTCCTAAAGGATTGTTCTTACCCGTTGTTAAAGACCTCATGTGCCCATTCTTCAATGGCATCATGTCATTGTGTTCCTCAAATAGAACTTCGATGTTTTACTTGATAGTGTGATGTGATTTGTTTTTGTTTTATTTTCACAAAATCTTGATTCTAAGGTGTGTACTACTGTTTCCTAGCACTTCTGGGTTGCGATATCCATGGTCTTCTTTATTGCTGCTACAGTGTTCACTCTTCTTAAGATATGTGGTAAGTTTTGATCATCCCTTGATAATATTTGTTAATTGTTAACTAGGTAATTAGCTTCCGTTACTGCGGGATTTTTGTTTATTCCTATTTCCTATGATGCCTGGGAGCTACATATTAATGATTGGTGATCAATTTGTACTCTCCCCTTCAGGATTTTGTTTGGTTTTGGAGATGGCCAACATAAATTTTCAATCCCATTATATTGACAGTTTGATGTGGCTTTTTGGGGAGTTGAAGTTTTCCATGTTCAAGTTTTCAATTTGGGTAAAGCCCGGTACAAATAAGACATAACCAAACCTTGAAATATCCATCAATATGTGTGAAGCCCAATACAAATCAACATCTAAGATCAACACGGAAAAATGTAACATTTTAAATGAAAACCTTTTACAAGATAAAATGATAAATCTAAATCTGGAGAACAAATATTTTATAAAAATTTAAATATCTTTCCATTCCACTGTTAAATCAAGCGTACTCTCATGTATTGTTTTAAATCCCATGCTTTTATTTACTACAGCTTCATTTAAAATTTTGATTGTCTTTTTTTCCCAAAAGATTTGCCAATGATCTTAATTTCTTATTTAGCTCATTCGGTCTTACTGTTTTGTTTTTATGTTCTCTTACTTCAAATTATTATCACTGATTATGTGGGATTGGATGGTCTTGTTGCCATCTTTTCATATTTATGTGTTCCTCTCCCACATGAATGAACAGGCATTCAAATACTTTATAATTTTCATTTTTCACTGTATCAAATCAATGGCTGATCCACCACTGATTTTCGGCCAAGGCCCTATAATACTGAAGCTTTGGATAGACAGAGCCTAGCCCTTTAAAACAAGAGATGTCTACAAAGTGTGAAAAGTGCTTGTCTCATGGGGCAGCACTCTTCTCTTCACAGATATCAGCATGCCAGCTAGCCTTTAGCTCAAGCTGAGTTGGGTTGACTGCCCCAGCTTCACTCAGAGAGCCTGTCTTGTGCTGTACTTCGTTTTTTCCTAGAGCAGCTTGACTCAAATAATCTCTGTTGATTTGTGGTCCTAGTTGTCCTTCTTAAGGTCACTCTATGACTTTCCCTCTGTCAAGCTAGTAAGGTTTCCGTTAGAATTCATATTATTTCAAACTAGTTTTTCCTTGGATAGTGTGATAGGATTTGAGGATGCAATGCAACTAGTTAAATTTTATACTACTCTTTACTCCTAAGTTTAAAACATCACCTTCTTAATAGTTGACTAAGGAGCAACATGTCACATGAAGGGTAATGCCTCACTTCACGATTTCTTAGTACAAAAATCTGGTTAAAATTTCTTATGATGCCTTGTCTATGGTGGCTGGTATAGTGATTGGGGCATCAAAGCGGTGCGAAGAGTTGGCCTTGAAAAATGTCTGTTGCGCCGAACTTAACTTCAGTTGTCTACTAAAGCTCTTTAAGTATCTTAATTGCGTTGCTAAGTTTTATCTTCTTGTCTATAGCTTTCAGGATTTAGATGATGATAATATCATGCAAAACTAAGCAAGCTCATTTGCTATATTTCAACGTAAGAACTTAAAGAATGGAGGGAAATTCTATATTGCTAGCAATGCTACTCTTAGTGAAATCATGTAGTGAAACTAACAGATTAGGGCACCCTAACTTTCAGTTTTCGAAGTTTTGTATCCTCACTTGTGCAAAAACAATGCTACTGCTCTCCAATACGAAGTATATAAACTTTCCAAGCATCTGAAAAAATTCCTATCTTCATAATCACCAAGGCTTCACTTGGTTCAACAGAAGGGAAGGGAAGGGAGGGGAGGGATTTTAATGTTATCTTATTTGATTGGTTTTTGTGAGAGTGCTCCTGTTGGCATCAGAAAGCATCAAAGACTTGTAAACAGATTAATTTATCTCACGCTAGACTTGATATTAGTTTTCCAGTTACTGTGGTGAGCAAAATTCATGAGCAAACCAAATGAGAAATGCTTGAAAATATTGTTGTGAATCCTAAGGTATTTCAAAATTATCCTTGATAAGTGAAGCTACTTAAAGAAAAATACAAAGTGGACTTGAAGTCTAATCAAATACGATTGGGTTGGTTCCATGATGATAGATCTACTTCAGATATAGTTCTGTGGCGTATAAGCAGAGAGCAAGATAAACTTCTATTTGGGGACATCGCTTTTTTTTTAAAATATTCCGTCTTCCTCTCTTTAAAAACATTAGACTTTTCTTAAAGGCCTTTTTCTTCATATTTTGATACCTAAAAAAATTTCATTTTGGATCTACTTCTGGATCTATATATTATTCGTTGAAAAAAATGAACATAAAAGGGGATGGTGATGTGAGAAGATTAAACAGTTCATGATCAGTTATTTTTGTCGTAGATTGAACGTATTGGGGACATTTGAGATTCTTGACCTCCAGCAAATAGACATTCCGAACATCAGTTGATAGCTGAATCATGATATAACCTGTGCTTTTCAGTATCCATGAAATCTTTGTTTCTTGTCAAGCAGTTAAAGCAATGCTGCATGATTGAACAATGCATTTAGGCCCTGTTTGGTATGCAGCTTTGAATTTTAAGGGATTGGGAATGAGATTGAGATTGGACTTGGAAATGGGAGTGGGAGTGGGATTGATGCTTTAAAATTATGTTTGGTAAGCAGTAATATTTACCTAGGATGTTCACATTAATTTTATTTTAAAATCAGGTATAAATTATAAAAAGACTATAATATCCTTACTATTAAATTAAAAGATAAAAAATAAAAAACTTGCAACTCAGCCCGTCACCGCTCCTATCCCTGTTTTTCACAACCCCTTCTCACCAACATCTCAATTTTCATTTGATCCTCTTCTCCATATGAAGACATGCCTACTGAACTCCCACTAGCTTTAGTATATTTTCCATCTTGCTTTTTAAGATCCAAATGAAAAAGGCAAACTACTAGAAGTTTTGTTTGTTTTCTTTTAAAGCCAAGTCACGGAACTGTAAAACCTTTTCTCGTCATTGTTTTGGAATTCGAGCTGTTTTGAGACAAGCTTTTCTCTTTAATTTATTTAACTAACAAGTAAAACTATAGAAGTAACATAGTATGTTCAAGAGTTTCCACTTCATAATATTGCAGGCTCTCCCTGCAACTATGGCCGAGATGTAAATGATTGCTTTATTTTCCGCAACATCGAATTAGATTAGTCAGAGAGAGAAGATCTAGAAGAAGGGGAAGAAGGGAGAAGACGAGGGAGGGATGACTTAAAGCTTAGGGGTATGAGAATGAGGAATATATTGTCGTTGCTGATGGAGGTCGTCGTGGAAGAAGATAAATAATGGAAGGTGTGGATGAGAATAGATAGGGATAGTTTTGCTATAGATTAAGACATATCTCCCTTTGTGGATGCACAATGGAGAGTGAAGGATGGCATGGTGGGGAAAGGGAGGTTGGAGATAACGGAGGGATGATGTGGAGGAGAGAGGAGATGATGGACAGTGCACTAGAGACAAAAGAACAGATGGAGCTGACAATGATGGCTTCGTTAATGAGAAGATATGAGGGGCATGGGTATTTGGTCATGAAAAATATCAGCCCAAGATTGATTTTTCAATACCATGGGGCAGGTGATATTGCTCAATCTCATCTAGATGGGATTGGGCAATCCCAAGTATTGTTATGGTCTTAAATATAAGATCTATTCTGTAGTATAGCAGTGTAAATTACATTACAAAATTAGTGTTATATTTAGGACCGAAAGGGGTATTACTTGGTGCCTGATACCAAAAATGTTAAAATGAGCTATGCTAATGCTAATGCCAATCCTAACCCTTTCAGTACCTCATACTAAAGAGGGCCTTAGGGTCTAATAAGTGCAGGCCTAGTTGTGAATTACAAAAATGTAAACCATTTACTTTTTGTTGCTTAGAAATGTTTCCTGTCCTCTCCATTTTGTCTATAAATTTAGTGTTTAATATGTCTTGACCTTTGGAATATTGTGCGGGTAATTGTGTAAGCTTTTGGTGAAATTTTAAAGAGGGATGAGGTGCCATAACTTTTTCTGGATGAACTTCTCTGCTTAAGCAAGAAAATAATGTTTCAACCTACTGAAACGCAAAAAACAGAGAAAACTATAATTTTGTAGAATATACTTCTGGTTTAGAGACAACCTAGATTAGCAGGTTAATTAAAGTCAACATATGGATAACCTTTTAATAAGTTTTTGCATGTAGTTAGCAAATTATTTAATTTTTTAATCTGGGCATATATTTACCAAGAATTCCTACATTGTAATTTTCCCAGACAAGACCGATTATTTCAATGTGTTGCTTGTCCACTTCAAATGGAGAATATTAATCGAATATATGGGGTGCGGGCTGTTTCTTCCTTTTTGAGCGTAATGAATCAATCAGGGTGAGGAGTTATAGTAAACGTTTTTAAACATCCTTTTAGCTGCACTATCTACATCTGTTTTCATGGTGTTAAGATTACTTGCTGAGTTGTGTTACTGTAATCACATTCTTTATATTAATCACTATCTGATGAGTAGTTGAATGCACGCCTATCATATTCTTGCTAATATCCTTTCAATCATCTGCAGGTGATGTTGCTGCTCTGGGCTGGTGGGACTTATTTATTAACTTTGGGTATAACATAATTTACATTTCTGATATACTGGTTGTATCTGGTCGTTCATCTTGTGTCTTTGACCTTCCTGAAAAGCCTGTATCCTTTTGCAGCATTGCAGAGTGCTTTGCCTTTCTTGTTTGTACAAAGTGGTACAATCCAACAATTCATGGAAAATGTTACATTGACACAGCAGATCCTAGCTCATCATCACTTTCATCATCATTTACTATAAGATACCTGGACTGGGATAGAGGTTTGGTGGTTCCTACGGATGAAGAGAGGCAGCAAAGTAGCCTATGCAGTCTACAGGACATTGGTGGGCATATCATGAAGATTCCATTCATAGCTTTTCAAATTCTGCTATTTATGCATTTGGAGGTATAATATATTTTGATCAGGGCCTATTGATGTTTTCAGAAAATTTGTTTTTCCAAATTTCTTGAGTGTTTCTCCCTCGTGTTGTTTTAGGGAACGCCACCTGCTGCCAGAACCATGTCGAGTGCTGTTGTCTTTTCTCCCCTTTTTCTGTTGCAAGGAGCTGGGGTTTTATTTGCGGCTTATAGATTAGTGGAGAAATTAGTTCTCTTAGTTTACAGTGGAGATGTTCCTGGAAGATACTCTGATGTAGCACTAAAAGCCCGTGATTGTTTTGGATTCTTGCACCATGGCTCAAGGTATTAGTTTATTCCTGTTTGCCATGAAATCAAAATTTGTCTTTGATAATTTATTTGCTGAGCCAGTAAAACTGATATTATTCAATTGCGACAGAAATATTTTATTGCTTGCATTTTCTGCATTAACAGGCTCCTGGGCTGGTGGTCAATAGATGAAGGAAGCCGAGAGGAACAAGCCAGGCTTTATTGCGATGGGGGTTCAGGGTCAGTTTTCCTTTAAAGCACATTTGGCAGAAGTCAGTTTTTGGACTATTGTTTTCCTTTGCTTAAAAACCTAATTTGGAAACGTAATGATCACTTTCAAATCCTTGTCTTGGACGTATTGAACAGAGCAACACTTTCCCTTCTATAGTCAAAGTTTTCTTTTTGGTTATGCTCTTTCAAAATGCAAAGTAATTGTTGAGAACATATTCCACTTGGCTTATTTCGATGGTCAACTAGTGCCTGCAATTGGACTGAAACTTGCTTTAAGCTTTTCATTACCCGGTCTGTGCTTTTGAGTAACTACTGTGACACTAGCAGTTGTGCCTACGCTGTTTCTCTCGTTAGCTGGAACATGGAATATTGATCCAAGTTACCTTCACTGTATATGAATGTTATTTGTTTTACCATTTAGGTATAATACTTTCTCCCCTGATATGGTGAAGAAAATGCCTAAAGCGGATCTTGTTGAGGAGGTAAAGACCTTCATGCCCCCCCAAAACCCCAAAAAAAAAAAAAAAAAACTTTTATTGTATCAAAATATGCAGCCATCGCATTATTCCTTGCGTCTTTTTTTCTCTTTTTTTCCCCCCATTCTAGTATTTATTTAAGCCTGTCTATTTGATGTGAACCTTAGTCACACATAAGTAATCTCAATTCTTATAACTCCCAGATCTGGAAACTACAAGCTGCCCTAGGTGAGCAGTCAGAGATTACAAAATTTAGCCAGCAGGAGTATGAAAGACTCCAAAACGTAATGTTCCAAACCTTGATTACTTCTCTTCTGCATTTAAATTTGTTAATCAGTCGCATAAGTATATTATTAGTTGTTTTCTCAAGGGCCCTTTTTCTTCATTATCATTTAAGCAGGGACTAGGGAGTAGAGACCTGATATGCCATCTTTGTTCCTCAATTTTTTTGTGCCAAAACTCTGGTCCTCGGGATAATGTTAAAAATATAATTTAAGGTTCGAACTGATCAGGATCTAGCATTTTAGAACTTTCATATGATTTAACTGGGTCAATTTTGTTGTCTGTCGTGGGGTAATAAGTGATTTTCATTGTGTAACTGAACTGCTTTTGATTGAATTTTCAAGTTGGGGCTATCGTCTCATTACCTTACAAAAATATATCAAGTTGGGGCTATCGTCTGATTACCTTACAAAAATATATAAAATTGTTTCCCGTAACTTTCTTTTCTCCTTTTTTTTTTTTTAAACGTTTCCCCACTTTATATTGGTGGTTTTCAGTCGATTTCAGAATGACATAAAATGTTAAAGAAAATTCTGTATTCTGATTCTTTCATGGCAAGGAATAGTCCAGGATTTATGCTTCAGTGGACTGATACCCCACAATCATTTTCGCACTGGGAGGCTGCTACCCCCACAAAGTCCAGATACCATCAGCTAATTTGCATTATGCATGCTCTGGCACACGTTTACTATCTCAAGTGATGCATAAACTCATGCACAAGCTGTATTATTATAATTATATTTTCAAAAAAAATTAAACTGCCTTACATATGACTTGAGGTATATAATTGACTGTTAACTAAAGGATTGACGAATTTTTCAGGAAAGGATCCTGTGTAGAGTTTGCTTTGAAGATCAGATCAATGTCGTCCTGCTTCCATGCAGGCATCACATTCTTTGCAAGTAAGCACCCTAAGCCCTGCCATTGCTCTATATTCTGTTACTAGCCATTTAACACAAACAATGTTGGGTAAGAACCCTGCGCATATCAATCTGGTTGTACTAGTCGGTAAAAGCTCATAAAAATGGATATTTCAGCAGATCCCATCTTTGAAATGTCCAGTCTCGTAAGTTTTAATGGGTTCTTTTCAAAGCCAGCTGATATATATAACAAAGAATTTCTTATAATTTTGAACTACTTTCTCATCCACTTTTGACAACCTTAAATGTGGATAACAGCACATGTGGTGAAAAGTGCAAGAGGTGCCCTATCTGCCGTGTCTCCATTGAAGAACGAATGCCTGTATATGATGTATAGATTCAATACGCACACTGATTGAAGCGATGTAGCTGTCTCACATACGCAGTCTTGCTTTTGTTTTTAGATGAGGCAAGCACAGAGACTACGGATGCTGGTTTCTCTGCTCATAGGTTTGTTCAGTATCAACAGCTGTGTATAGCTTCCCAGAGTTAGAAGTCTTTAACTTTTTATCCTCTGTAAAGTCTGTTTCTTGCAGTCGCTTTCATAAATGGTGTGGAAAACTTCACCATTTTCAGTGCTAACTCGTACGGTGTCATCTTGATTTTTAGTATGGAAAATAGAGTTGGCAAGTTAATGATGTAAGCCATGTAGAGCCCTTTTTATTTGCCAATGTTCAAAGGCATTCCTGGTTCGCCTGTGAGGCTCATATCGCTTATCATCGTTTTTAAGTCACTATCATTACTCAAAGGCACCCGAGCTTGGATTCTCAGTGTGGCTTTCAAATTAATACAAGTTCTCAACTTCCAAGAGAAACAACCTTTTTCTTTTTTGAGGGATTAACCTAATTTGGGTTTTCGCATTTCGTCTAATATCCAGAAACATACTCTGGGGAGGAGGTACATGTAGTGGATTATAAATTTCACACTGTTAATTGCACGCTCAGATGGTGGCACTTTGTGAAACATTGCATTTGCTTCTTAGTCAGCCATTTTTTGTCAGCTCCAGTGTCCATTCCGTTGTATATAAAACCAGGTAAGAGTTCTCACATGCCCTTTCTCATGCCTGAATGGTTCCCTGGGAACTGCAGTTTGCTTGTTCGGACATTAGACTCACGCTTGAAATAATACCTCTTTTTTTTCAAAAAAAGAAAAAAGATCAACCACTGCTGAAGTGCCGGACCTCCAACCTTTGATGGCTGCTAGTTAAAGCTCTAGCCATTGACGAATTTTTTCCAAACAAGATAGTCGAGAGGTTTTTTTTTTTTTGACCAAGTGATAGTCAAGAGGGTTTGAACATTGACTTTATGTAAACATATAATGCAAAGAAAAATGTATGTAACCTGACAGATGAAAGTATCTAAGTATGAGTAAACAAGTAAAACAAAATGATTTTGAACAAAAATTAGGCAAATTTAGAAGAAACATAATAAAGTTCACGACTTCTAAATATGAGTGTTGAGGTGTGAATGAGCAAATAAAATAAGTTAGTTTAAAAAGAAAAACATAGAGCAGTTTGCAAACCCCATTTGAGGCTATGTGAAAAAATATATATAAAATGTCTGCATGAACAATTAGAATAAAAAAAATTGTAACAAGAATTAGGAGTGAAAATTCAAAGAAGGAATCTGAGAATCCTTTCAGAAAGTTGTCTTGGAATGCTATATTACATTTAATCATTTTTTTCAACCCCTTGTTTTTGAAAATTGAACGTCAGTCTTGGAATGAGGTCCACAGAATGGATCCTGGTCTTAAAATAATAATAATAATAATAAAAAGGCACTCTTTTCAAACAGTTGAGTAGGTTGGTTAGGTTAGGTCGTAGCGTAGGTTTGGTTTCTCCTTTGTTAAATGGCACGTTTCCACCTATCAGCACAAAGCTTATCAGAAGCAACATGCTGCCAACAACCATTTGTTGTTAAAATGCCTCCCCGCAATTCTAAGCAGAAAGAGATAGATCGGAAATCTCCAATCTTCTGCCTTTTCAAAGGAAATCTTTTTACTCAATAATTTCAAAGACTTGAATGCCAATACCATTCATCAAGATATCATCTCCTTCTTGCAGTGTTTTTTCTCCTTTGCTGTTCACGTGTCGCCTTCCCTGTAAAACTAGCCTCAATGAACTGTGAACAAGGCTTTTCTTATATTTAAGTTTGAACATGCCAAAATCTAATACTCCTCCGATTCTAAATATAAGACTCTTATATATACTATTATAAGGGTCTTATATTTGGGACTGGAGAGTATAACTTTTAAAATCTATTCTAAGGTCTAACCATAAATTAAGTTTACATTCTTGAACTTTTCAAAACTACATATACACATAACTTCAAAAAAAAAAAATCTTACGTCTATGATAGTGTTTTTAGCTATACGGGCAGGTTCTGGTGGGGAAAAAAAACTATACAGGCGGGTGCTTATTATTCAACAGAGTTATTTCTATCAAAAAAAATTATTCAAAACAATTATCAGAGTGTAGCGGAACTTTTAAGTTTTTTTTTCAATAAATATCAAAATTCAAATCAATATCACTGCAAAATTAAAATTTTGAAATAAGTGACATTATTTATAAATTACCATAATAATAATTATTCTAACTTTGCGTCGTTAAGAAAAGATATATTATATCTCTAAGTTTTATTAAAATATTATTTGTTTCATTTGTTATGCCACCAAATTGGTAAAATGGGTTCTATTTTTTTTATACGTAAACAATATAATTACGAAAAATTATTAAAAAATCGCTCATTAAAAATTTTCTTGGTGAGGTCGATCTAAATCAAAGCATTGTATCTTGTTTATAAAAAATGTGCAAATTATCAGACTTTTTTTTTGTATAGAAAGTTATCAGATTCTTTTTATTAATAAAACTTTTTAACGGGAAATTCTTCTATAATTTTCCTTATAATGCATCATAAATTGAATTATATATGTGTGTGTGAATCAATATGATGTCATGTGAGGATTCTGACATTTTCATTTATGATCACAACAGAACCTCTTTCCCAGCATATGGGATCGTATTTTATTGTCGAAGTAGAATCTCTTCCAGAATCCTGACTTGTGATTTTTTTTGTTTTTTGTTTGGGGGGTTTTAACCAACCAAAAAGAAATGAGTTGGACAGAATGAACCAGTCATCCTCATCCATCTTCCTTTAAAAAAAAAAAAAATCCCATTTTCATTTGGTTACACTTTTCTTTGTCATCAAGAAAATGAATTATTACAGGTCAAATCATTTAACAAGACCCGTGTTAGTAGCTCAAACTTCATCGGTGATAAAATCACTAATAAGCAAAATCAATCAAATATACAAATAACCAAATTACATTGTATTGCGAAGAATTAGTCTATTCTGCTAAATCCAATTTGTTACTTTGCTCAAATTATTTCATTTAACAAAATAATTCAAATACAAAAGCATCAAGCCCACCAACAAAGGGTTGGATTTAATTCAAATCTGCACTGGATTAAATGTCTACATTTAATGTATAAAAGAATGAATTATAATATCCGTCAGTTTTACAATAATGGTACTTCTACCATTCTTCTACCATATATAGTGCTTTATAACTAACAGTGGCCGATGAACTCTCACTAAAGTACACAAAGCATCATAACACCCACCTTATTTCTTTATATCTCTAATAATTCCTACCAACTCTTCATTGCCTCATCTATATTATATTCGCCACGCCTCACAGTCATATCATATGTTATCAATATCTTTTTGTTACTAAAGACACACAATATTTATTCATCTTATCATATGAGATTATATATATATGTATAAATTAAATGTGCTTCTCGGGTTTGGTTTAATAATACTACTTTTGAGTTTTGAAAGATGTTTTAGTTTTGACTCTTAAGAGTCTAAGAGATGAGTTGTACTCTTATTGATGAATCATGATTAGTTTAGTATGGTTTTGGAGGATTGAATGAATGACTAATATTTAGAATCGCTACTTGATATTTTGTGATGATCTGCTAATCAGTACTCTTTTGGAGTACCCGCTTTCGTTTGACCTATTTTCTTTCTTTCTTTTTTTTTCCCCCTTGAAAAACAATCATTAAATACCATATAAGTAACTTATATTTAGGACTAAAATTTTTTTCTACGAGTGACTCATCATTGGGATGGTAAGAGATTCTGAATTTTATGACAAAATGTTTTACCCACATTTCTTTAGTTTTGATGAGCTAGTCAATTAGAGAGGAGGTATCTTATAATAAATATAGAAGGAGCATCTACAATCTTTTGTTATAAATCACGCATATATTCATCATATACTCGCCATACAAAGTTAAAACTTTCAATCCCACCCTTAATAAAGAAAAAAGAAAAAGAAAAGACTTAAGCATGTCATCAATGGACTACAAGGTCCTCAAAACACTGATTTGGAATTTTATATATATATAAATAATCCCCTAACCAACAAGCCAACGTTGGAAATTTGGTTTTTTTACCAAAATACGATAAACAGTAAAACTATATACACTATACTGTACTTTTAAAAGTAGTTACCAATATGCTGCACTTAAAATCATTCTTGGCAAAAACGACTTTTAAATTACATACAAGTCGTTCTTGGTGTGAACGATTTTAGAAGTCGTTCTTGGCGTGAACGATTTCAAAAGCCGTTCGATTTTTGAAATCGTTCACGCCAAGAATAACTTGTGTGTAATTTGAAAGTCGTTCTTGTCAAGAACGATTTTAAGTGCAACGTATTGGTAAATATTTTTAAAAGTACAGTATATTAGTATATAGTTTTACTGTCTATCATATTTTGGTAAGGAAAAAAAAAAGCCTTGGAAATTCGCTAAGCAATAATATGAGCACAAATATCCACATTTCCAACACCAAATGTACGGATAGATATAACAAACAATCTTTTTAGTTTTTTTAACATATTGACCTTTCAATATTTTCTTGGATGTCATTGCTCACTTTTTTGGCCAAAAAGTCAAAAACCTAGGAGTTAATGATTTAAGTTGGATGCCAAAATGCTAAAGCCTTTCCACCCGGCAAATTGCCCATGGTGTGCATGATATAAATCCATGCATAGAATCGTACTTAAAATCTCTCTATAATAATCAAAATAAAAATAATAAACTTAGATATAAAATAAACAATACTATTAAAATTAAACGGGTAGTTTATCTTGTATATATTTAAAGATGTATAAAGCTATGGAAGATCAATTTTGTGCAAGGCAAAAATACCCTACACGATAAAACCTTATTTGGTAGGCACAAGAATGTGTTTTATTATTATATAGCAACTATTATTTGAAAATTAAAGTAATTATTATGCATATAAAAGATGATACCGAAAATGTTTAATATTTTTAATTATGTTTTACAATCTTATTATACTACCTTCGGTCCTAATTGTAAGAGCTAGTTGACTAATTTGAAGATATTAAGGAGTTAGTTATTTGTCCTAAATAGGTGTTGTCTTTCCTAGAATATCCTTTCTAATCAAGTGTATTGACTACAACTATCATTATTAGAAGGGCTATTTTGAAAAAAAATGTATAAATATGAGAGACAAAGTGGATTGGGGTCTTATATTTAGGACCAACACAAAAATCAAACGGGGTCTTATATTAAGAACCGGAGGTAGTATTACATATACAGCCTTTAGAGAGGGGGAATGTTTATTAATAATTTATTAGTTATAAATATGACCGAAGATAATAGTACAATAATTATATTTTTTTTGGTATTCTTAAATCACTTTGGGTTTAAAATTAATTTTTGTTGGGTTGGAAGTGTTAAAAAATTAAATTCTTTTCAATAAATTTGCTTTTTGAAAT